GTAGCGAGTGTAAGACTAGTAAGGGGTTGAAACACCTACCAGGCGTCATTGAAAAGGCGTAATAGGAAGATACTATGTGTCCGTCTAGAGAAGCATACAAGTGCATAGTAGACTAGTGGAACTGACTTCTTCCTGCCAGCATACGCCAAACACACGAGTACGATAGCGACAGTGACCAGATAGAGCCAGAGAAAAACCTGAGATGCTGCGTCACCCCACGAGCAGTCGTTAACAGCCACCTGCTGAGCCGCCGGGATATCCGTGCCGTCCCCACCGGCTATCCACCTCAGGATAGCGTACAAGTACAGGAAGGCTGCTGGGTATACTAAGGGCCCGGTATCACCCTTGAGATGATAGTAGTTCGTATCGCCATCGACCAGCCAACCCTCAACCTGAACTACAGTGATGCCAGTCTCCTACCACTCCTTGGCGATCACCTCCTGCATGTAAGCCTTCCAGTCTATCTCAGTGTACGACACTCTAGCAAGTATGAACCGACACGTGATGTACTCTAGGAGCAACAGTACGAGGATGCAGGCTACGATTGAGGACACTCTGCGACCAGCGATGGTATCCAGGATGAGTTTACGCATGTGTCGTTCGGTTCTGTGAGAAGGGCCGCCAGTACAGTACTAGTATAACACAAAGAATAGTGCCTTCAACGGAAACGCTTATCACATGGCCGTCACTAGCCCGTAGGGGTCTTGAAGTAGGTCTCAAAACTGAGGAACTCTGCTGGTATGACGTACGGAGAGTGTAGGAGGCACTCTTGGGCAGGCACAGGCATCTGGACCGGGACTAACACGATAAGATGGGTAGAAACAAACGCCACCAACATGGGGGTACCTGCGGTAAGGCATATACCTGCTTCTCTATCAGTCCAATACCGATGCCGCGGGAGTATGGACTCCTCAGTAAACTCATAAAAAGTATCCTTCGAGTCGTACAAAATAACCCCACTGAGAAAAGGAATGTTCAATGCAATAACTTCACCTGCCAGCCTCACACGCTCCTCCGATACTTAGCAAAGACATGCTGAAGCACAGTGTCCAGAGCCTGCTCGGCCTCCTCTCGCGATACTGACTCCGTATCGACATAAGGGGAGGCCATCACCAAACGCGCAGGCTTCTTCGTGTCAACGTCCCCCGTCACCGATACTGCCGCCACCACAGAGGTTATCTCTGTAATGCACAATGAGGCTTTTTCCAGTGAAGGAGGCCAAGCCCTCACCGCCAGCATCGTCCCTTTTGACATAGGCGTAAGTTGCTCTAACGAAATCGCTCTTAGTTTTGTCCTTCACCCACGGGAGCACTCGAAAGAAGTCCTCAGGGTCATCGTCCTCTCTCGCCCTACACAACAGCAGCCATAGGGAGCACGTCATCCATGAGTACTTTTGCGGCGCCTCGTTAGACTTCTCGCCGGTCTCCCAGGTCTGCAGGTCCGTGACTATATTGTAATCATCTGCCGTCCCCAAGGTTTGACCCGGTGATAGCTGGATGACCTACAGCCTATCGCATGCCCAATAGCGCGGCACCCGGGCCGGCTCACCTGTCCATCTCCCGCTTCTCGTGGCCAGAAGTACTTCACATGTAGGGCCCTCACTACACAGACCAACCTGAAGGGGGCACTGTTGCCAAGGGCTCCTCGCCGACTACCAGCAAGACCTCGATATACCATCTTTCCGTTCTATCTCGTACTGTGACGGATGGGTCACTTGTGGGTCGTAGTGGTGAACTGTTAGTATAACCCCAGGCTGAGGCTCCCCTCCTTCCTCAGTCGGCTGTAGTTCATTCAGCCACTCATCTGCGTAACTACACCAGTGGCATGGGAGAAGCCCTTGATGACTGAGCAGGAGCCCACCTACCTTTCGGTCATAGACCTCATCTGGAGCCTCGAGAACTCATTGGTAGCATGCTCTTGGGTCTCATACCTAACATCAGTACTCTACCCTATATAGTACCCTCTGCAACTACATAAGTATCAGCCCACACGGCACTGTGTTGTTGTCCCCAAGCTTCAGTGTAGTCCTCAATAGTGCCGATACCCCTCGGTCGTAGTGGCCCATAACTTTACCTGTAGGGTCGCACAGTTGAAAGATGTCCAGTGTGTTGGCGAACCTAACAGGTCCATTCGAGCCCTCCTGCACCGCGGCACTGTCCCCCCCCCCTCCCCTACCTTTCTTGCAAGGCCGGTGAAGCGTTCATCCAGGGGGCCACTTCGAGGAGAGAGTAGCTGTGCAGGTCCCAGTTCTTCACCACCTGCATCGAATGCTCTTTTCCCAGCCTTCTAAGTCCGGCCTACTTTGTCCTATGACTTCGGGATGCATGAAGCATCGCATCGTGTCGAACTGAAGCCACCGTTGGTACCGTCTCTCTTACAGTCGACATTACCCCCGTTGGGG